TAAATTGGTTTTGTCATCATATTGAAGAAGCCATTCTTGAATTTTGTGGCGAGATATCGATCGATGGTTGCACTCACCGCATGTATCCTCGAGATAAATTTAGATGCTGGTTTTTAGATCCGTGGCAACTTTGGCATTGGTTGCGAAAATTTCTGTCTTTCAAAGTAATAGCATTCATCAGATTATAAACGCGCATGAGGTAAAGAAAAGAACTTAACCTAACCTAACAAATATACGTATACACATGTATAATACGTCAAATACATATTTGGAATATGTAAAAGATCGATAAGGATATTTCGAAAGAGAAAGAAACAAAGAAGGAAAGGTTGAAAAGAAGAGAGAAAAGTGTGGATGAAAACGAGGATTTTACGCGTCATCGAGTAGTATATAAATTCGCGCACGTCGACGATTCGACATAGTTTTTCGTAGTATAATATCCATTTTGAAAACAGGAATGATCCATCGGGAATTGCAAATATTTCGAAGAATGTCTATGCGGAATTCTTATGGCGGTCATTATCCGTTCATTCACCGTCGCGAAAACGTGACGAGCGTTTGAAAATGTGTCGTCCGTTTAAAACGTTCGTAATCGTCGATCACGTAGGAATTGGTTTTTCCGCAATTACTTAGTAACGTATGTGTCTCCGCGCCATACAGAAAGCCTTCATTACACGGTCGCCGAATGTAAATAATTTCTAAAAGCGCTCATGCCGATAAGCGTATTACCATCTACGCCTACGCATAGGGTGACTCATGCTCTCGATAGTTGGTACGCTCATATAACGCACGATACGTATAAGTACGGGTTACATATGTGCATACGTGTAATCTCCACCCTTAACTGGTTACCAACATATACTTCTATCCATAATTCTATACGTGAACGCCTTCTTTATTAAGACGCTTATCTAAAGAAAATGTGAAATCAATAATGAATTCCACTAAATTTTATATATTTACTTTTTATCGCGTTCGAGAATATATTTTAACCGGCAATTTATTTATTTACTTATATGGGTACTTATATATACTTATCGTTAACACTTTGTACGTATAAAACTATTATTTGAATTATTAATTTAAACCTAGTTTCGTTGGTTCGTTCGAATGGTAAAAAGATAAATTTCTCAATGTTCCTTTAATGCATCTGTGCTGCCCTCTTTAGTAAAAATATCCTAGTATTTTTTCACTTTCTAAGATACGTTAAAATTTGAAGTTCCAAATGTCTTCTTGGTATTTTTTGGATAAAATTAAAAAGTACTACGTATTTTTATAGAAGTCTAAAAACAGTGTAATTTATTTGTCCTGACACATGGATGACACAAACGGAACGATAAACGAACGGTTTTGTAGATGTATCGAAATGTTAAATAGGACATAACCTAAAAGAAGAGCAAGCGTTCAAACGAATGGAAATTTTTAGAAAACATTTCTTTGAAGAATAGATGGAACGATACGCATAAGCGTTGCCGCTGACGCGTCAATTTTGTTCAGTGCATCACGCGATTTTTGTTGATAGTTCCCCATGTGCTGAGTATACGTTTTCTCGCTTTTTGTGACGTGTTTTTTCGTACGTATAATATCGAAGATTTCAATCGTAAAACTTTGATACGTAAATATTTGAAAATTTCGATAAACATTGTTTCATTTATCTAGTCATGTTTTAAATATGTACAAATTCGTTATATCTACTACAAGTTTTTATAACGTTTAATCAGAAACAGATCGTTTAACTATCGATAAACGTAATCATTGATATTTAAAATAAGAAAAGGAAAAGTTGAGCAAGTGAAAGGAAAGTTAACCGATGATTGATAGGAAAATAAGGAAAAAGTGAAGAAATAAGGATTTTTTTTCCAATTTATCCGGATATATATTTGATTCGAATGTATATTTACGATAGTTTCCTACTTGTTGGTTCGTATCGGAGGTCACCGTAGCACGATGCAATCGACGTTTTCACTTTCACACGATTTCTAACTGAAGTTCAACGACGTTCTTGTATCGCAAGCTATTCATGCTCTTATTTCATACGATTATTTTCGATTTCTGGTACATAAAATTTGTGTTCATACATATATCAAAATAACTTCGTTTTTATCTATATACGTACATACGTATATTTTCACGAATACATATAATAGCTATAAAAAATATTTACATATAAGTTATTTTTCTTCAAGAATAGCTCCGACTTTTGAACGCGAGTATATTTATTCATGACATGCTATAGCTCTTTAGCGTTAAAGACTACGAAAGTTTGCTTTAGCTTCCAAAGAAATTAGCATATAACACGAAGGTTTTTGAAATGTCAGCATTTCAGCTGCAAGTATCACCATGCAGGAAGGATATTGCACAATTTGCACTCATGATTTTTACTCATCCAATTAAATAGTTTAATTAAAACGACAATACCTATCTATTTCTTCTCTGTGGTTTCTAGAAAAAGTTTAAAAAGCTCGGTCGTCCATTTTTAAGGAAAAAATAAAGGAAATGAGGAGGCTTGTGTGACGGGCTTAGAGTGAATTTTTCGTTACCGGACAAGGTCGAAAGAAGAGAGGAGGGCAGGCTAACAACGAAAATAATAACGGTATGCGTCATTGCACGGATAAACCATTGTGTGTTCCATCGTTGAAAGGTTCACCGCGTGCGCGATACGAACATGTTTTACGTAATCAGTGTCGAAGAGAAACCGTACGATCAACAGTAGGAAGAGCACCGTTTGTTTCGTATCTTTCATCTCTGTGACGATATTTTATTTTAATTATTCCAAACTCTCGTACTCGATACGTATATACATAAATTGTTTTGATTTCCGTTTCGAAACGAATCACTCGTGTATCTTTCTTTTAATTTAAACATTTTTCAAGTGTGATCGAACAATAGGACGAGTTACCGACGGGGATTCGAGGTTTCTTCTGGCGTTCGAAACGTTCGATGGTATTGCCCGGTTACCGACACTGTAACTGTAAATTTAGATTAATTGCAAGTGGCGCAATGGCGAAGCGGGAAGCGTAACGAGCTCGCGAAGAACATAGTTCGCGTGTCTTGTGTTACCCTTTATTTGCACACTGAACGCAAGAGACGCGCAAAGTACGGCTTCTAGAATAGTTTAATACGGCCTTGCAGTCCGTAATGTAATCAGCGCGTGACGTCATTGTACCTACTCCCTACTAGTTCTACGAGGATCGGATCGCGAAATATACCTTGAGGACGAGCGCGTAGCGGACGCACACGCGAATTCGGCGAATCGTTGCCGTTCCATCTATCGAATAATATACCGGTGATTATTTATTCGATCTTTCTTCGGTCTCCCCCCCTCCCCTCTTCCTCGTGTCGAGAAATATTATGGTTGTCACATTCACGGGGACGTCGCGGGAGAAACATTGGCGTTGACGTGTTGCTCGTTGTACGCTCGAATCCTTGCTGTAAGTATCCTCCTCGCTTTAGTTAGAATAAAATAGATATTGTAGATATTCGCTATTCGTTTTGTTCGCTCGATTCGTGAACACTCGTCATTGTCCATCCTGAAGGAAAGGTCCTCCTCTTCCATGCTTTCTGTAAAATAGGATACACTTGACTGAATCGCACACGATATTCACCGCGGCGTTTATTTTAATAGAAACTGATCAACTCTTACGAGATCGCTCATGCTGCATTCGAGACGTGCAACGTTTAAGGCAAGCATTAACCGCCAAACGAACCTTCCTCGTTGATGTATTTGCGTTCTTCTTCTTTGTTAAGGAAATTCATTAAGAATAACGAATTGATTTATCTTTTTCTTGTACGTGGCTTGTCTCTCCTTGATTCGAGGATATAGAGCGGATAATTTTATTCTCATCTTCTCGGTTAAGATGCTTTGTTCAAAAAATTTTTCTTTTTTTTTCTTAATTAAATACAATATTTCGTATTCCACGTATCTTTTACACTACGGATAAAGAGTTAAAAGAGGATGTGCAGTAAAAAAGTATTGAGAAGGAGGAAGGTTAGAATTAATTGGTTCTTTTACGAGTATTTTTTACCAGATTACCGACCGACATGTACAGTGGTAGATATCCGAGTGGTAAGATTTTTCGTTACTGATCCTTCGCGCCGTGTTTTTAATTACATCGAGATATTCGAATGCGGAAGGATTTGTGTCATTGTCATAGTACGAGACCTCGCTTCTGGAGATCGTAGTGCGACACTCGGTGACCTCGTTTTGCGTGTATTACAGGGGTGTTGGAGATGGCGGCCACAGAGAGCACGATCCGTTTCAGCGGGCATACATTGGACAAGGCTACAAAGGCCAAGGTGAGTCTTCTTCCCTTCCTCTCTCTCTCTCTCTCTCTCTCT